TTTTTTTAGTTTTTTTTTTTTTTACAACAATAGACTCCTCTGACTACCCATATGACTTACTTAAGGCTGAAAAATAGAGGGTCTGTCATGAACAGGTATGAACACGGCCGAACGGACGCGAATTTCGGGTGTGTTCATGTAAGTAGGAGGAATAGTATTCCCGTCCTCCTTCGGGCTTCTGAGGTCGGAAAATTCTATCCAACCACATCAACGACACGAAAACGTTAAATCCGGCATTATAATAATTTGTGTTCAACTTTGAACACGGTTCGGTCAAGGACGCTCATAAGTATAGCCTAACAGAACCACGGTACATAATATGAGAATACATGTGTGTTGTGTATATTTTATATGCAAAATGTATGTATACAAGTTTCGTTGATTGTTAATTAATATAAAGTTATGTTAAAATTAATAAATCTTCCAAACGCTGTGTGCAAATTCGTTTTATTCTCTTACCTCGTTGACACTCGTAAAGGAGCCTGGGAATACAGTTTGGAAGTAGCGATAGCCAGTGTTAAACCTTTTCGGTAACTCTCGTTGAAGTGATCTCTTGGAATCTGCGGACACACATAAAAACAAACAAATTAATTAACGGACAAGTATACGGGTCGCGGTTCTTTTATTATTTATTATATTATGATGTGCATGTGGTACGCTAGGTATATTACGGTTTGCGACAAAAACGGGACGCAGCAAGAAAAAAAACTAGGAACTTGAGACGTATAATATATATATTATATATGTATATATAATGACCGGCAGGCTGAGCAAACAAAACCATTTATCTCGTGCGGACGACAACCCCGAAAGGGATTATATTCAATGTTTATACAAAGAGATTTTTTGTCGAGTTTTTACAGTAATGTCTAATCCCCGTGTTTGTTTTATGGTCGTTTATTCGGCCACGGGGCTATATAGTCCAGTAACCGACTAATCGAGTCTATTAGGATAGAAGRAGTCGATTATTGTCAAATATGATATATGTTATAATTATAATATTAATGTGATATTATTTATTATATCCATTAATAAACCAAACGATTAAATATGACTATAATTAATATKTACCTAATAGTAATGTTACCATTTGGCTATTAAATTGGTTAAATACATACTAATATATTGCCGGTCTGAAGATTCTACTTGCTTTTAAGAAATCGTTCCAAACATTAATTAATGCATAAATTATTCAAATTTGATACAATTATTGTTATTATAATATGTACAATCGCGCGTTGTAAATTATTATGATTATGTGTTTTAAATTAAATGGGAATAACGTTCATTTGGAATATATTATTATTTATTATTTAGGCTTCAGTTATCAAAATAATAAACTTGCATTTTTCAACGGTTGTTTTACATTGTTCAGTGGAAATAACAAAATCTGCGAAAAATGAATGAAAACTGTATAATTTAAACATACGAAATTAAGTATTCTTTTTCTTCTTATTATAATTATACATGTGATAGGAAATAATTTTGGATTGTAGTGACCTCAGTAACATATTATGCTGCATGGGACATAAAAAACGCAAAATGCTATAGGACAGAACAACGCGCCCTWTTATAATACAGTTTCGAGTAGAATTTGTTTACAACCTTCTATAATCTGCAAACTAATTCCATTTCGGTTCAAGTACATTAATAACATTAATGATGTTTTTCCAGTCTAGTTGACTTAAAGAACATTAACGTGTACCTACGTTATATCTTAATATATTCCATTACTTTAAGTTGACTGAAAAGTTTGTTTACAAAAAATAAAATAATAATWTGGTTTTTATGTGAATGATGAAATTGTTATATAACTTCATATTATAATTTATAATCTAACTCACTCAATTTCAGAGTTCATTATGAACATCCAAGAAGTATAATATTACATCTATAGACATAATTACATTGTATTTTATAAAAAGAATGGGAACTTGAGATTATACATGGAAATGGATATTTCAAAGGCTTTATAAAAATAGTAAGATTTTTAATACAGAATATCTCAATCATTTTAAGTGTATAAATTTGTAGTGTATTAATTACAGTTACTATTATCAATTATAATAACTTTGATATAGGTAACTTGTATATTCCTGTCAATTTTATATTGTCTGTATTTGATCCGTAATTAGCAATTAATAATATTATACAACGCGCACCTAAATTAAATGTATATACATACCAGTTTATATAGTACAGTCATGTATACATTGTAAAGCTAAACTGTTATGATTTAAATGTTCAATCGTGTGATACAATAGAACAAGACTCTGGAGAATTTCACTGAGATAACAACACGAACAATTAAATGCAGCATACCAAATGATTTATACCGAGTGAGAAATTGACCATCGTAATGTATAACACTTTTATTTATGTATATAGTATCTACACCTATCCAGCAGAGATTGGAATTTAAATCACGCAAAGGTAAATTATTTATATGGACGTTAAATATAGATTATTGTTTAAATACTACCTGTACGTTTAATATGATATTACTAATGTATGCATAGCGAAAAAGCGACATAGGAGACAAAGATACAATAATACGTTTGGGCACAATTTTAGGMGATAAATTATAAGTTATTTTATCGTCTGCATGACTTGTAGTTTTATGTTATAGATACGATTTATTTTCGAAGAAACAATATTGTATCATTTGAAAAATTATATACGATATAGATACGGTAGGTACATGTGGATTATGCTCCACGGACTTGTGAACAACTTTTTGGTAAATATATTAACAGAATATGCTCTATGGATAATAAATTTAATAAAATCAACTTTATGTAACTCGATTAGATTCAACTTTATTTATTAAACTACCTAACCAACTCCGGTGTTGTAAAATGTTAGTCGTATGAGTTTATATACGTTATGATATTATATTAAATAATAATGATATTATATGAAGTGTTATATTACGTGCAATGTATATATATATATATATAATGTACTAAAAAGTTTGCCGCAGTGAAAAGCAACGTCGACACTGTGCTGTTATTATGGAAGTCGATAGAAAAACTTTTTCGGAAGGAGTTCTTCTCACCACCTCCGCGACTTAATACCGTTGCAATGGCGTCTTATTAAAACACGTTGCCGAAACGGTGACACGTGATTGGCGTCGGCACACGGTTGTCTGGCAAAAGCAACAAACGATGCGCGTGTACCGACATATACAGAGTCAACGGACATATGTTTACTTTTGGACTATGACTATTYTTTTWATTTTTTTTTTCTTCGCCATTTCTTCAGAAATTTATTTTTATTCACCGGCCGCGATAATGTGACTGAGGCGGCGTTCGTTTGCCATCCAAATAGACGCTATAGACGCACTACAAGCGCATCTATAAATAATGGGGACCATCACGACGTCACTCTGCGCTACACGTCCCGCAGGTTCATCCATCACATCACGCCGCTCACTCTTTGCTCCGGTCGACTTTTCCGTAAATTATCTTAATATATTGTTATGTACTTATACATTATAATATATCATATCAGAACACACATCAAGTGGTGCATAATTTATATTGAACAACTATAATAGCTGTAGGAGTATGATTTTTGTTGTGTCGATTATATATATATATAAAGGTACTGGCATAATACACATTAAGCAAATATATATATACCTTTATTGAATGTAGTACTCTTTAACCTCTTTGTTTCATTAAAATATATGTTATATGCTGCACATAAGTTGTGTTTTTGGCCCCGAAACACGACGGCGGTAAAACAACACGAAATATCGGCCAGCGAATAATGCGAATTGAAAGCATACGATATGTTAATGTTATAAAGTTATAATGATGTATTATATAATTATATTATGTTCTGGTATGTTGTTAGTTGCCACACAGCAGCGACTCGTGTTTGTAATTTTTGCAAGACGAAAACTTACCGATGATTTATATGCCTCACACGACGACGGCATTTTTATTGGCAAACGCGCTGCGGCTTCAGGAACGTTCGAGACGCGCAACGTTGTAAAGGGACACTTATCGTTACCCCCTCGCCAACCGTATCAGTATATCCTGTACCCCATTGGTGACGGTCGTGGTGACAAACGAGCCGAAATGAAGCTTTAACGCCGGTGGGACGAAATCGTTGGGAAATTTTCGTAAGTTTTTGACGTTTTCTAGGCCATTAATCGTGGCAGTGCGGTGGGGGGGGGGCAAGAAGGAGATTGATCGGAAGTTGAGTATATTCGACAAGCGGATGCGACCGTCTCGCTGTCGTTGACACATGCAGCTTCTGTTTCACTATATATACATATAAAATGTGTATACGCAAGTACGAAACGTTCTGATGTAATTTGGACACACGTCACTGTCACACCTTTACGGCAGGGCAGCCGGTTAATTTTTCAACAACCCTCTTGTCCGTCGGCTGCCTGCGTGTGAGGTGGTTCGTCTTATCTATATAGGTACGCGCGTCCTACTGTGTAAGCCCACACGTTCGCTTAAAGTGACCGAATAGGAAAATTACCCCAGGGACTGCAGTCGTCTATTTAGTTGTTCCCATCAGGCACCGTGTGCCGCATAATTGGTCAGAAAACGAACGGGGACACGCTGCTGTGTTCGCTTTAGAATAATAATAATATTTAATGAGAGTGGTTTTAAAATGTACGATTAAAAAATATGCGTGGGCACTATAGGAGGTATCATACATACACAGAGTTTTTTGATTAAAACCGTGTGTTTTGCGTGCGTGACTTATAAACGTGTTATTAATTTGTTCGAGATAACGCGGATTTTTAACCGTCGCGTTTTATGAAGTTAATTTAAAAAAAAGTTCAGAGCATAATTTATTCCGTGATTGTAAAGTTGAAAAATTTCAGGAGAAAAAACACCACATTTTGGTAGGAACCTAATGTAGGATACAATATGTGACAAAAATAATCGTTTTACTTTTTTATCAAGCTGTAGGAAATAGCACAGAATTGAAATTTCAATGTTATGTCAAACTAAACGCAGGTACGTTCAATTTTCTATTCGACCGAAAAACAAGTAGGAATTGATTATCATTATGATACTCTCGCCGATTTTAATTAGGTACCTACATCAGAGGTTTTCTATATTATTATTATATCGCCTACAATAACTGACTATAGAGAGCTGTAGGAGCCAAATTAAAGTGCGAAGAATATTATACTTGCCGTTTAATAACGTCCTACACGCTGTAGTATTATACTTATATATAATATTCATAGACAACCATCTAATTATCGGGCAATTAAATAGAGATTTTGTAGGTATACAAAAGCAAAATAATTAGCGACATAATTTCACCACAAGTACTATAATATATTGTCTATTTGTCATGTTAACTTTGGCCGTCTTTTTAATAAAATTACGGTGTAAATAATCGTTATGATACGCATCATAGAAGCGATTGCATATTATGAAACAGTAAAAGTGTAACCATAATAATAATACAATATCAACTATATAAGCTATTACCTATATCGTCTATACGACTATACTTATACTCATATATTTAAATACTTTACAGGTACGCGTTTCCACCACAGCAATGCGGTATTATA